ACCGCCTCCTCCTCCTCCTCCTTTTTCTTCTTCTTCTTCTTCTTCTTCTTCTTCTTCTTCTTCTTCTTCTTCTTCTTCTTCTTCACCTGCTTGCACAGTGCACCCCCCTGTACAATTACTGGCTTAAAGTGGGTTGCAAGTTTCAATCACCCCCTCCTCCTCTTCTCCACCTCGCCGTGCTTGCCCCTTGAAGACTTGGTTGGGTAGGGTGGTCTGAGTTTCACGTCCAGACGGGCAATTGCTATTGACTTTCTTGTGTTTCGTGTTCCTGGGCCCTGATTGACCCTTCTGAATGATGCCAGTCATCCCATGTTTGAGCCAGCTCTCGTGAATATTAGCCACCTTGCCATTTTGCCATTTGCCATTTGCCAGCCAGACCCACTTGGAGTTTGCCTTCAGCCAAAAAAAAATTATCCGCCGTTGGGCTTACTTGAACAGATGTCTTCCCCTTCCATCGTCTGAGTTCTTTCTCTGATTGTTTTTCAGTGATGGTTTTAGACTTTGAGTTGCAGCTTTTTTAACTTTCGCTCTCTCGGATTCCTGGTGGCGTCCAGAGATATAGCGCATCTCTGCTTCCAGAGGGTCCGTAATGTGACTTGTCTGATCGGGGCCGTACTGCAACCTTTCTGGCTGATGGTCGGTCGTACGCCGTGCGACGGTGATGTAGTCGTACAGGGTGCGCTGACTCATTTCAAAAAAGGTGACGGTCGTACGGCGTGCGACTCATTTCAAAAGAATTGACTGTGGTTCACAAAAAAAAAAGGACATCAACAGTCAAGGGAAAAAAAAAAAAAAAAAATCAGCTGAAGGGCACAAAGATCAACTATTTAAAAAAAAAAAAAAAAAAAAAAAAAAAAAAAAAAAAAAAAAAGCGCGCTGAAGGACACAAAGATCAACTGCTGGGAACATATGTCGGCACCCACCCACTACTTGCCTATTCACTCAATGACATCTGCTCTAGCCAATAGCACACAATTTGACTGAAGAAGCACATACGAAGTAGATGATCCATTCACTAATTAGTAATCATGACTTACTGATAGATTAATAATTAATAATTTAACGAAATTAAATTATTATTGGAAATAAATTTTAATAAAACTAACTTACTTAGCTGCAATACTTTTGCATGCTTCAAAATATGTCACCAAACTCGATGAAACACACAAAACAGAACTGTTGATCGTTAAAAGTTAAAAGTTAAAACTTAAAACAAATTAAGATGTTTCTTTTTTTTTTTTTTTTTTCGACTACTCCAGGGTTGTGAGGACTTTTTCCGTCGCATAC